CAGACTATCACTTTTAATATTAAAAAAATTAACGTTTCTTTCTAATTTATTTTAGCAAAAGTAATTTTTTAACAATTTGAACCAAAAATATCTTTATTCTTTATTTTAATTTCTTTAATTGACAATTGAGATATAAAAATAAAAAAATAAAAAAATCTAACAAAATCTACCATGTTTGGTAAGTACTAAAAAAGTTATGTTTTGTTCTTTTGTCAAAAATATATATATATATATATTAAAAAATATTATTCTTCAAGTCCTTATAGTTTAGATGGATATAATTTTTTTTTATAAAATTTAAAACAAAAAAAGAAAAAATAATAATAACGATTAATAATTTGAACACATGTATTTAAAACATATTATATTTAGACCAATAATATTATGACATATCATTATGACACATGTGAATATTGATCTTATTCTAATTTTAGTAATACAATTTGAAGAAAAATTTAAATTTGAAATTTTATTTTATAATTTAATAAGGAATGCAAAATTTAAGGAATGAATGTTGATCTCATTCCAATTATAGTAACATAATTTAAGTAAGAATCCAAATTTGAAATTTTATTTTAAGAATACAAAATCAATTTATAGGTCAATTATATTGTAACACGTATTAACAAAAAAATTAAACAAAATAAAAAAAATGAGAAAAAAGAAGAGTTAATTATCTAAAAGTCCTATTTACAAATATTATGATAACTCAAGTCATATCTAAGATTTTTTGTACTAGTAAGTTCTATATAGTAAAACTGACAACATTATCAGTTTTTCTCAATTTTTTAAACTAAGAATATTATTAATTTTGAATGGTAATGTTTCAGATAGTTGTTTTACTAACTGATGAAAAAAAAAAAAACAAAGTATAAGATTAAACATTTTGCCCTTTAACTTATTGGTTTGATTTAACTATCTTATAAAATCGATACATTATTAGTTTTTTTTTTCTAGTTTTAAAACTAAGAATATTATCAGTTTTTTAATTTTTAAAGGTTTTTTTTTTCCAGTTTTGCACATTAATTTTCCATCATCATACTCCATTATAGACAAAAAAAATTTAATTTTGCACAAAAAATAATTAAGTTTTTCCAATTTTCTCAAAAACAAAAGAAAGTTTTTTTTTTTTTTTTTTGAAGTTTTTTCAATTTGAAAGTTGATGTTTTAAAGTTTTTGAAAATCAAAATAAATGTTAAATCATCATGTTTCTATATAGATAATCATAAATAATTAATAATTATTATTTGAAGGGTAATTCCGATTATTTTATTTAAAACTTATATATTATGGGATAGGGTAAATTACATTGACACCCCTTGGGGTTTATCTTTATTACAGTTCCCCCCTCACCTTTTGGAAATTACATCCCCCTTCTTGAGATTTAAAGTTTCATTACAGATTGGCCCATGAGGTTTAAAGTTTTATAACAGTTTCTCCCCTCACCGTAATGATCATCATACATAAAATTAAATTAACAGGGGGTTAGTGTAATTTCCTAAATGTGAGGGGGTGAACTGTAATAAATATAAATCTCAGGGGGTGTCAGTGTAATTTACCCAATGGGATAAATCATTATAATTTTAAATGTAAATTAATGGAATGCTTTCCATATTTAGTGTCCCCAAATTTGAATTTTGAAATGGATTAGTGTACTTTTTATTTTATATATTTGATACACTTTCCATTTGAAAATCATAAATCAAGAAATATTAATTATATATATACATATATTTTTCTTGAATGAAAATTATAGATAATTTTTTTAATTATTTAATTTCAAAAAATTAGAAATTTTAATTTGAGATATTGGAGCTCCCACAAGATTTTTGATTAGAAACCCTTTTTTACTTGTATAATATATAGATAAATAGATTTAATAAGAATTTAAAATTGTTTTAGATATTTTTTAATATACAAATTAATTTTTTTAGATTTTATATAAAAATAATTTAATAATCTGATTACTAATCATAGTGTATGAAAGAAGTTAAAAAGAATGTAATAGTAGGTATAGAAAAAGTCAAAAATGTTTATAAGTTGGAAGAAATTAATATATGATGAGATTTTATTTTTTTTAAATCAAAAAATTAAAAAATTAAGATTAAATATTACAACTCTTACAAAATTTGAATTAAAAACCCAATTATCTTTACAGTTGCGTTTTGTAGCTCGAATTTTCCATGGCTCGAGTGGCTCAAAATCCCAAAACGACATTGTTTTGGTCTTTTTTTTCTGTTTTTTTCCCCCCCCCTCTCCCCTTTTCTTCATCATTTTCCATAACTGAGCATAACTCAAAAGAAGAAGAAAGAAGAAAGCAAAGAAAGAAGAAAGTAGAACAAGAAGAAAGAAAAAAGAAGAGAAGATGAGATCATCAACAAACACACACACACACACACACACACACATCTAGAGATCACCAACACGACATCATCATCATCAACACACACATATCTGAAGATCATCATCGTCATCATCAACAACCAATACATCATAGAGAAGAAGAAGAAGAAACACACAAATCAAACCCCCCCAACACACATACACATCTGCAAAATCAAACCCACACACACACACAAACACAAATCAAGCTCACACACACACACACACACACACACACACATATACAGATCTGGAAGTCAAATTCATGAAAAACACACACACAGAGTGGTGGTCGCAGCAGTGGTGGTGATGGAGTGGTGTAGCGGCGACAGTGGTGGTCACCTGCGACCGTCTTCCCCCTTTCTTCTCTTTTCTCTTTTCCTTCTCTCTCTCTCTCTCTTCCTTCCTCCCTCTCCCTCTGTGTCTGCTTCAGATATAAAAGAGAAAAACAAAAAAAAAAACAAAACAAAAAATGGCATCATTTTATATATTCGAGCCACTTTCGAGCCAAGATTTTCGAGCAACGAAGTATTTTTCTTATCTTTATATAATGTATAGATTTGGAAATCTAAGAGGTGTAAAATCTTTTGTTTGAAAAACGAGGCGTTTTCCTTATCTCTCTCTCTCTCTCTCTCTCTCTCTCTCTCTCTCTCCCCTCTTACCTCTCTCTTTTCACTAGACATGAAATCTCAGCCAATATCGAACTCTGAGTCTGGACTGACTCTTAACAAAATTCCTTATTACAGCTGAGCTGCCGTTGTCAAAAAAATTATGTTGCGCACGGTTTTGAGATGCGTGATATGTCAACACACCATTCACACGCATCATGGTGCCCTGTTTTGATGTTTCAATGTTGTTCTATTGTGATTGTACCATTGATATTTAAGTAAAAAAAATTTATCGAATATTGATTTTATTATTTAAATATCGGTATAAATCGTTTTTCTCATTAAATTATATTGAATTGTATTGATTGAAACGGTTCAATTTAATATAATTTAATCGGTTTAATATTTTTTAAATTTAAACTATCTTTTGATATAGTCTCTCATTTATATAAAAATATTAAATTAGTCATTTGTTAACCTTTTCAAACATATCCTGTCCATTCATTTAATAAACATTTTACAGTTTTTAGATTAACAAAATTACAAACAAAAACTAATAATAAATATTAAAATTTCAAGAATAGTGAGTTAGAATTCAAATTATATAAAAGAAGGGTATACTAACTAATATACTATAACTTAAGTTATAGAGATGATAGGGTTAATTAATTGAGATTTATAATTTATTATACTTATTAATATTATTATATCATTAAATTATATATATATATATATATATATTATAAATATAATATATGTTGAAGTGGTTAATTTCAATTTAGTTCAGTCCATAAGGTGCTTAAATTGATACTGAATCGAAAATCAAAAAAAATTAAATTTAAAAACCGCACGATCAATTCTTATTTTAAAAAAAAAGGACCAAATATAGACGATTTGATTTAATTCAATCGGTTTGTTCGATTGTTATTACATCTTTAGTTCCAATTAGGTTTTTACTTTTTCAAATTGGAAATCTTTTAGTACATTTTTTTTTTCCGTTACAAGTTGTTTTTAGCAAATATTGGGATTGTTTGGTAATTTGGATTTGTGATTTTTTGATTAAAACAGTTAATAAAAATAAAATAGACTAAAATAATTAATACAATAAAGGGATATTTACCGATAAATCCCATCCTACAAACAGTTTTACCAATTTGTCCCATTTTTATTCTATTGTTCTCATTAGTCCTATCAGTGAGGAAATATATTCATTTTTTATCCTATTCATTTGTTTTTATTCATTCAGTGGGACAATTACACCCTTCTTTTCACGCAGCCTTTCCTTTTACGCATTACCCAATTTGTAGGGATTAATTGCACAGATTTTGGTATTTCGTATATTTCTATTGGTTGGACATTTGGGGTGTTACGTTAGGGTTTTGGGAGAGGTGTGGGAGGTTGTGTGTTTGTTTTCTTGACACACGGACGACTCTGCAGAAGTTTGTTGTCGGTAATGCCGAGTTGCCAAGGTATGTATGTGTGTTTCTGTTGTTGCGTGTTTGTGTGGTTGATGATTTCTTGTTTTCTCTTGTAATGGTGATGTTGTTATAATGTAAAACACGAGTAACCACAACCAAGTTTCAGAAATATCCATTGGGTAAAATGGAATTGTGGTCTTCGGTTTGGTGTCTGTATCTTGGTATGTGGTTTGGTCTGTGTCTGTTAATCATTTTTCTTTGTAATCAGTGTGACGAACTGTTGTGTGTCACTGTATTTTTCTGTCAATATGTTTCTCTGGTTACACTACTGTGGTTGGTGATTTCTTGTATTGTTTTGTAATGGCGATGTTATAATGTAAAACACGGGTAACCACAACCAAGTTTCCGACGCCGCAATGTCACGTTAAGCACATTCCAATTCCATGGGTATAACCGAATTCACATTTTCAGTTATGTACCGTGTTCATACATTAAGGTCGGTATTGGTGGTAATCGTAGCTTTCCAGCATGACGTAGTTATTTTTTCACAGGTATGGACACACATATTTTGTTGGTGTGTTGTTATCGCAACATGAATGCTGCGATCAAGTTGTATTTCCCGTATCGATTTGACGATCTTCTCAATTGTGTGTGCCGGAAATTTGATGGTTTAATAGATGCTAATGTGTCCATGTTTTTCAAGATGCCGGAATACAATAACTTCACATTACAAAATGACATCGATATAGACAAAATGGTTTGCCTTGCATGGTCTTTCCGATTAGACCACATTGATGTCATCATTCAATCTCGGATAACGCAAGGTGCCGATGACATTGGTGACGCAGCTGCAATCCCACTAGCTGATACGTGTAACTTGCCTGTGCTTGTAGATAAGTCAAACATTGATGATGACCAACAAGATTTGCTTCCCAAATTTTGTCCCCATGCCGCTAAGGTTTTCTTGTCTGCCCAATGGGTTCATCACACACGTCAAACAAAGTTTCGAGGGGGGAGCCAATGAATTGCGTTCTTTCCTTCGCAAATATGCGGTTGAGTGTGGCTTTGGCTTTAAATTTTTGAAGAATGACTCTGTACAGATCACAGCGGTTTACATGATGAGGGAATTGAAAAACTGCATGTGGTCTATACATGCACGAGTATTAGGTGCTGATGAGTTTTTCTACATTCGCAAGTGGAATAGGGAGCACAGTTTCGGTGTTGCCGTCCGAACAGTAAAAAACCCAAGGGTTGCGTCTGAATTAGTATGTGATGTTATATTCGAACGGGTACATGACAGACCGCTCACACGTCCGACCGATGTGGTGTACGACCTGAAGAAAGATTATGGATTAGAAATTAGCTACCGGGTCGCATGGTTAGGCGTTGAGAAAGCGCGTGGCGAAATGTTTGGTGCACATTCCATTTCATTCGATCAATTGCGGTGGTATAGTAATGTCGTTATGGTCAACAATCTAGGTAGCTACATAAACATTGACTATGATGAACAAAATCACCGGTTTGAACGATTTTTCATATCATTCAAAGCATGTATTGATGGGTTCAACCATTGTCGCCCTTTATTATTTTTGGATGGTACTTTTTTGAAGGGTAAATTTAAGGGCAACTTGCTAGCTGCCAGTGCGAAGGATGGCAACCAAGGTTCGTTTTCAGTTCTGCACTGGTAATACATTGTTTTTTCGGTTTGTCACAATTTGTATGGGTTTGTGGCATAATAATGTCACGCTTGTATGACTGTTATGTGGGTTAGTCGCATAATTTTGTCATGTTCGTCATGCTTGCCAAGTAACAGCTTTCTACACAGGTTTATTTCCATTGGCAATAGCAATTGTGGTTTCTGAAAACACTGCAAACTGGTTCTGGTTATTGCAACACCTTGCCAACGTTCTTAGCAATGACAGGACACTTACATTCTTGTCTGACCGTCACACTGGCCTCATCGACTCAATACCCAAAATATTCCCGTCATCACACCACGCGTTTTGCTTACAACATTTGCAACGAAATCTGCAGGACAAGATGAGGTACGTCAACAGTTCGTACCGAGCGGGATTGCTAAGTAAATTCCGGGCATGCACATATGCACCTACTGTAACAGGATTCAATGCCAACATCGAGACATTCATCAAGTCTGGGAGGAATGTGGCAACATCTTTTCTAAAAGATATACCCCCACAATATTGGGCAAATGCTTATTTCATGTACGCACACTCTCTTTATACTTAAACAGTTACACACAGCACAACTATTACAACATAACGGTTTCACATTCTAACAAACAACATACGTGCGTCTACGTAACATTTATTTGAACTGTGTAACAGGGGTGCACATTACTGCGAGATGTGTTCTAATGCTGCTGAGTCATTCAACTCATGGATCCGTGAAGCATGACATCTTCCCATCACCCAAATGGTTGATAGTATTCGGACAAAAATCATGAACCAAATGTCGAAGCGCAGACACAAGTCAGCAGCATGGCCTGGAGTTCTATGTCCCAAGATAGAGGCTCGATTGGTGAAAGCATATAACAAAGGAAGGGCATGGATTGTAAGCCAATCAAATGATAATGTGAACGAGGTCCATTCGTAACCATCAGTGTTGGTTGATGTTGACAGGCATACGTGCTCGTGTTTTCAATGGCAAATTAATCAGTTACCATGTGCACACGCAATGGTTGCAATACGTAACAGTGGTAGAGATTTATATGATTTGATTGAACGCAATGGTTGCAATACGTAACAGTGGTAGAGATTTATATGATTTGATTGAGCCATTTTACCATGCAGCAACATACCGACTATTATACGCTTCAAGCATAACCCCTATTCCTATTGTTGAAAAACCATCATTCCAGCTGGACGACTTTGTCATACACCCACCCGTTGTAAAACGACCGCCAGGGAGGCCAAAGAAAAAACGTATGCTTTCTAAGGGGGAAGAAGTGCAGTTAATTCATTGCGGACGTTGTCAATGCATGGGGAGCCACAACAGGAAGACATGCAAAGAACCAATTTAGCATACCGAACATTGACGCATCTTTTAAGTTTTCAAAGTTGTAAACACTTATCGTAGTCTAAACTTTTGCACCATTAATAATGTTGTGCCACCTCCACAACACCTACCACATCGTTACGTGTGTGTTTTTCCCGTTTACATGTTTGATTTTTATGAACATTTGCAAATAAAGGTATGTCACAAATACCTACCTGTCCTCTACTTTACGAATATTTTTCAACTACTGTGTGCATCACACAGCCTTCTTCTCCTGTCACTCGCAATAATGTCTTGTTCTACATCACAATCATTTCTCAATTTTCACATACCATTTTTACATCCAAATGCTTATTTCAGATCCCTTCAATCCAAATGCTTATTACAGGTCATTTCATTTCATTGTTGTGCGTTTTTTATGTTTCCTACTTTATTTATGAACTCATTCGTCACTTTTATGGCATACAAGGCAAATTTTCCTGTAGTACTTCCTCATTGCCAAACATTTTCTTACACAACAATGAAAACCATATCAACATGTGTTTGTTTGTCCGTTTACATGTTTAATTTTTGTGAAAATTTTGCAAACAACACTGTGTAACACAATCATACCCGACCATTTAACTATCAACACTAATGTATTGTTCTTCTCAATAATTCCTCGTTGTAAATTACAACCAACTCTCATTTTTATACGTAACAATTACATCGAAATGCTGATTGTAGGTCGTTCCAATCACAATGCTTACTTTAACTGCATTACACTTCATGTCTGTGTGTTTTTTAACGCTGCCTATTTCATTTCCAAACGTACTTCACCTCGCTAATTGTTTGTCATAAAATGCAAACGTCCCTCCACTACTTCGTCATTATGACATGTTTAATTACACAACAATGAAAAGCATATATGCCCATATTATCGGGCCATTAACAAACAATAATAGTCACCACAACAACTACACCGAAATCCCGCGAGGAATCCACATCAATGGCCAATACATTGATTGTTAAGACATCACATAACCACAAAAACCATGTTCGCATATTCACATAAGTCATCCACAAGTAAAACAGCATTACTCCCACCAACATAAACACATCCAAAACCCACACCGAAACACACAACAAACATAAGGTGCATCCAAAAATGTAATTCTTATTAGACTTCCCCAAAGCCCTATTTACCGACACACAGTAGCCACACATTATCCCAAAAGTAAGTAAGCATGCCAACCGCATATCAACATCATAAATAACACTAAACTATAAGTTGGCACATCTTGTGCTCATAACAAAAACAAAATGCATAATCAAACTTCTAAAACCAAAAATAAAGTTTTTGATATTAATATTAACTTTCTACTATCAAAAAGACATTGTTATAGCAGCATCACATCTTCAATCTTTCAGCCCCATGATCGGATCATTGATGAACCCCTTAACCATATTCGCTCGTAAAACACAGCCATTGTTATCTTGCAGAGAACGGCCCACATCTGCATGGTACACGTACTGTCTCATAATAGCACAAACAATGACTGCACAATCTAGCCTGCGCAGGGGGGTGGGTGAAGGGGGAAAGCAAATAATATAATGTCAATGTGACAACCATCAATCTTTCCAAAAAAAAAAAAAAATCAATCTATTTGGTTGCTGTAACAAATTTAAATATACGTACGAGTCCGCTTTCTGTTGGGGGCAGTTTGCAACAGCCTCTAAAGGGTGGTTGAAAGTTTTCGCAATGCTCATCGCATCCATCCCGTCCTTACGTAACGATCCCTTCGTGACATTTGACACACGCTTTTTCTGTCACACAACAAATTAACCAAACAAATTACATACATAATTATTTTTCTTCATCACTCATTCCTAACCAACAAAATTCCCAATCAAATGCAACGTTGACATTACCAAACAAGTGCTTCATTGTAATGCACATCTGTTCAAGCAGATAAACGTGGTCTCATTGGATTAAAATGTTGCCAACTTCCATCCTCCGTATCATACACCACAAGAGTCCAGTGTGTGTTGTGGTACACAGGGAAATGTATGTACCGACACTCCTTCGATGTTGAAAAAATTTTCAGCACATACTTCTCAACTGACTTCATGTTGATGTTCCTTAACATGTCCTGCAACATAGCCAATTCATATTGCATTTAACAGTTCACACAATACTACGCTATTTACCAACAAGACAAAATAACTAACCATGCACACACTGCTGAAAAAATACGATTTGTCAACCACATCTTCCCCCTCATCAACCTTTGACTGGTTCATAAACAACAGTTCTGCATACGCATCAATCACCTGCCATAACATCTCACCATGTTCAATACACATTGACCACAATCTCACGGGATTTTAATACCACAACTATAGGTTATATTCATACAACAAAAACAAGTAAAATAAAAAACAAACAAAACAAAACATTGAACCCAACTTACATTGCCACGCAGGCTGTCGCCCCGTACAAGATCATTAACATCAATGAAGTAAACAACACCACTCACCTTGCTAGCCCACATTACAGCCCTACATACAAACCACACAACAAATCAACATAATGACGTTAAAAGAAATTAAACACAAAACCATGGCTACACACAAATGCATACCCATCACCATCCTGCTCGTACGCTTTGGTTATTTTTGTTTTTTCGTCTGCCGTCGTCATTTTCCAAGCCCCAAACCGGTTGTTTATGTCAAAACCAGACCACTTCTTCTCAGAAAACACAACGGTTTCCACATCAACGACGACATCATTCACACTACATTTGTCATTGACCTCAATAGCATCCACGTGTGTACCAGACTTTCTCTCACGCCCACAAGCCAAAGGATACTCATAATCTAACAATTTTCATTCTTTTCTGACTTTGTTCTTGATGTTGCGGACGAACGAATTGTGTATACCCATACCTTGGACGCTTTAGCCCACATTACAGCCCTACACACAAACCACACAACAAATCAACATAATGACGTTAAAAAAAATTAAACACAAAACCATGGCTACACACAAATGCATACCCATCACCATCCTGCTCGTACGCTTTGGTTATTTTTGTTTTTTCGTCTGCCGTCGTCATTTTCCAAGCCCCAAACCGGTTGTTTATGTCAAAACCAGACCACTTCTTCTCAGAAAACACAACGGTTTCCACATCAACGACGACATCATTCACACTACATTTGTCATTGACCTCAATAGCATCCACGTGTGTACCAGACTTTCTCTCACGCCCACAAGCCAAAGGATACTCATAATCTAACAATTTTCATTCTTTTCTGACTTTGTTCTTGATGTTGCGGACGAACGAATTGTGTATACCCATACCTTGGACGCTTTCCACCATGTACGGTACAACTTCCATTTCAGTATCTGACACATCTACAGCACTTGGTCTACAAACATTCACCGGGCTAGAATCTGACAACATGTGCACGAGAACAGATTCTTATTCAGCATTTTTAGTTCTAGTAGCTGCAATCGGCGTGACATCGTGAACCACTATCCCACCAATCCCACATCTACCAAAAAAGTTAACCCATCATCATCGCCAGCATTAACGTTATGGTACGCTTGCGTAGCACGGTGAACCTGTTGATCAGCCAGCTGATCTTCAAGTACTGATATTGCCTCCATCAATTCCTTATTTTCAATTGTCAACTTATGTATTTCATCATCCTTCACCTTCAACACACACCCGAACCCGCCAACAATGTTGACAGCTTGTATCTCTAATTTTTTTCTCAAATTTTCAACTTCTTCCTCCAGTTTTGCTATTGTAACATCTTTGTTTTTGTTTTGCATTTCAAGTGCTGCATTTGCATTCAACGCATCATCCAGCGCTGTTGCACAACCAACACCTCCCTTCAACGAATGTAATTCGCCACGCGTATCAACATCCTGCCCCCCAATTACAGTCCCCAGCGCACACCTCACGCCAACCCCACCACCACTACCACAAAGAACATCCTCAGACAGCCCTACATTTCCCTCCCTCAAGCCCTCATTTTTCCCACTTTTCACTGTTTCAGCTTCACCACAACCAGGACCATTGTTTAAAGTAGTGTCATCTATTTCTTCTCAACCCCCACCCTGTACTTCAATGTCTGTTGCCAACATGTCACGCTCAAACTCCAACGACGTCAACTGGTCGACACGTACCTGTCCAGATCATACCACACATTAATACAACTTACAACCAAATATAAAAAAATACAACCTAATACATGTACAGACACACAAACCACAAGCAACTACGTATTACGTACCTTGAATTTGCCTAGTGCAGTAAAATCAAAACCCCGTGACCTGGATAGCAAATTCCCTATATCCCATTTCAGGAACCGAGGGCACATATTCTCCGTTTCGGGTTTACATATTGTCG